ATATTTTTTTCTAAATTAAATATACATAATTGAAAATTTCAACTGGAAAAATAAGGTTTCTTGTTTGTGTGTAACTCAACTCATGATCCAGGGGGGTTTTCCAGATGCTGCAATTTACTTTGAAGGAAGAATAGGTTATAATTTCCTTTGAAGGCTTACTTAGGGAGCACATACTCTATATTTCACTTCTATCCCCCTCTAAAATCAATTGCCATTTCCTACAATTTCTGGTTTGGTTCCCATAACACATACAACATAAACATACAACACATACAACATGTTTCTCACAAAACCACAAGATTGATGTGAAAGCAGTGTTTGGTGGTGGGTTTTTTGGGATGCATGTGGGTTCTAAGGGTGTATTATTTTTTTTTTTTGTGAAATTATATGCAGGCTAAAGTATGGTGGTTTTACCTGATCTAAATGAGTCATAAGTTTTTATTAAGAATCCTTTTATGCTAACTTTTGTTTTGTGCCAGCCCAGCCACTGAATAAATTCTTTCACTGGCATTTGTCTAGGTGAGGGAGGAAGAAGTTTTTGTGATAGTGGTATGAAGAGGCTGGTGGTATGGATTTTCTGCTTGGTTGAGAGAGCAGTTATGATTTAGCTGGTCTGTTCTTTCTGGTTTCAAGTGGAAGTAATTGAGATTGTCCAGGTAAACTGGCATATAAGGTTCCTATCTTTCAAGGGTGCTGGACAGATAAAGTAAAAAGTATTATGAGACCTCATTGCAATTCCTATAGAGCACTTGGCTGCTTAGTTATTAACAGTCTGGGGAAGTCTTAGCTGCTTTTATTGCTGCTGCCTATGTCTGTTGCATTCTCCACAAATGTATTAAAAAACAAGCTGCTTTCTTTTTCTTTGCAAGCTGATACTTTATTCCCAGTTGGGAGAGAAGTCTCTTTAGCCTATCACTGGAAAGTTGTTTTGTGTTCTTAAATTAGGAAGGATTTTGTATTTCTAAGGAGCTCGCAGAAGGACCTTTCTCCTTTTTAGAATTCTCCAAGAAAAGCCCAGCATTTCAAGTCTAAATGTTTTTCTGGCTTGGAGATTAAACTTGAGTTATCGAAATATTTGTGTCTTCCTGGAAGAGCAACTTTGCAGAACCTTTTCCCTATATCTAATGCGAGCACCTTTGGGAGAGGTTTTTGCATGCTATATTAGCAGTAATTTCATATTATTTTTACCTGTCCTCCATTGCTGAAAAGGGAACTCCCATGGAAATGTTGATGCTTATAGGTTTTTATTTGTTACTGCAGACACTCACTCCTAACACATCCTTTTCTGGGGGCTTTTGTGTTTAGGTTGTTTGTTAGTTTGGAGGTTCTGGGACGGTGTCTTGAGGTTTTGGGAGTGGAGGTTTGAGGGAGTTCTGTTTTATTTATAGTTTGGGAAGGTTTTCTAGCAAAGTAGGTTGCTGCTTCCCTCTCAAGATTTTATAGCACAGCGCTGTATTTGGAGATGAATAAAGAGCTTTATGATGTACCTGAAGAACAAATGAGGAATTTAGGGAAGCGGTACTTGTAGATGATCAGATTTACTTTTAACATATTAATTATCTTTGCTTCTGCCACCCTGTGATATTGCATGCAAATGGACACATGTGAATGCTTTCTGTCTAACTCAGAGTTGAAAATTGCCTTAGCAGCAGATAATTGACAACATCCTTGAGTAAATCATAGTATTGTAAATGCACGCTGGTGAAATTGTCTCACCTGTCAACACATGTTAGCACAAATGTTTGTTGTCTTCCCCAGGCATGGAGATTTGCAGTTCTCTTGCTTGCAAGCAAAAGCTTCATTTTGTACAAGTGAAAAAGTGACTGACTTTGGAAATGGACCCAAACTTTCTTTTTTCTCCCAGGTGGATCCATTTCACACCTTATTTGGAATTGCTGGACTATCTTTATTAGGAGAAGAACAAATTAAGGCCGTCAATCCTGTCTTTTGTATGCCAGAAGATGTCCTTCGAAGAATAAATGTACAACCTGAGCTTGTGAGCTAAGCCTTGTAGAGACAAAAGGTTGATATGACCAGTTGCTTTGGTTTTACTAATTTATAATCTCATCTGTGAAACTGTCGGCATATTCTTCCTTGAGACGTGTTTACATTATGGAAGTAAAGCAATAGCTTTGCTGTGGGCTTTATCACTTTGTAAATTGTATCAGAACAGGCAGGTTCTCATAATCTAAGTGTAACATGTTCTTCGGTTATATTATAAGAGATGTAGAAACATTTCCAATCTGTATTTAAATGTATGGACCTTGGCGCCTTTTTTTTTTTTTTTTTTTTTTTTTTTAATATTCAAATCAAAGCTTGATTGTGTGAATGCTTAATTTTTGTGTTACTGTGCTATCAACCATGCTACCACCGGTCTTTACATAGGCCTCTTTTGATGGTGGATCACACAGAGCACTTAATAAGAAGATATAAAAAAACCAGCCAACCAACAAAATCCTACCTAAGCCACGGACCTAATGGCTCACACTTGTGTATTTAATTTGACCTGTTCATGCTTGCCATCAGTTTTCTGTACTGAGAAACAAGCTGCTTCTTCTGATAGTAATTGATAACAGCAAAACCATAATTATGGTTCTTCTAAGTATGTAAATGTCTTCATTTATTGATGAGTCCTTAGACAAAATTCCACTAATATTTGAAATACAGCATACCTTGAGTATATAAAGTTGCTAACATTAAGCATTCTAGAGAAGGTCTGTACAGGACAGTGACTTGTACTTGAATATAGAGTTGATTCTAAATTTGTTGCTGGGTTGAAATCCTGCTTTTGTAGCTTTTACAACAATAATTGCCAACACTTCATTATGATGTAAAAAAACCAATAAAATTAGCCATGGAAAATACTTGTTCGCTGAAGGATGAAGTCCTCTTTGTCTTCACAGGAGTCCTAAAATTGCCTCTTAATTTACATTCCACACACCTTGGCTGAGACTGAATGGTAGTCCAATTGCAATATACAGTAAAAGGTAATTGTGAAGGGGAGGAAGTGCTTGATAATCTCTGTAATTATGCTTAACAAAGGCCTAAAGTTCTTTTCAACACAGTTTTAAAAGCCAGACGGTTAGTTTCATCCAGCCTGTTGGTGTTGGTAGAGAGTAAGCTAAACTCGACAAAGTCACTTTTTGATAGACTTTTACTTCAAGTGAATTTCAAAGACGGAAAGTGAATTCAAATGCTCAAATATTTCTAGTGACTTTTTAAAGCCTTTCTGCAGGTTTCTTAGCTAAGGTAAAAGATTTTTGGTTGCCTAGTTGCTTGAATAATTCCTTGGTCAAAGCCTGGAATTAATTTATTTTTCAAGATTTGGAAAAATGTTACAATAGGCTTAGTGTTGAGTATAAGGGAGTGAGACCCCAATCAGGTTTTATCTTAACTGTAAAGGTTAACATAAAATTTTTAAGTAAGTGTTTTTTTCATTGCAGGTTACCTTTGCAAGTGCCACTTCTTTTCTTAAGAAGGTTCTTCCCTTCTTTACATCAGTTCTTTAGGTATTATATTTCTAAAAAGAGAATCATCACAACTTTTCTTGCACAAAATCACATTTTTCATTAAATGTACTGTGAAAAAAATTAATTGCCTAGTGTGTCTATGTTAAGATTTATGTCATTTTGGTGCATTGTTACCATCTACCTCTATTTTGTTAAAAATACAGCTAAGATTTTTTTTCTGAGTTTATCTTGTTAGTTTGCGGTAATTAATCTACTGTTCTCAGTCTTCAGTTACAGGTCCTTTATTAAAGACTTTTGGAAAGTGCACTTTCAAAAATTTTTTTACATTGAAATCTTTATATGGAAAGATCTTAATCCTAAGTACTGTAGTGTAGCCAACATTCCCAGCAATAAATTTTGAAAGATTCTGAATGAGAATTTGTGAAAGAATAGTGACTAATTCAGGTACATAAAATTGTGTGTCTGAAGATATGTTAATTAAAAGAGAATCTCTGTTTACATGGGGGGAAATCAACAGCCATTCTGTTACCTTCTACATGGTCAAGTCCATTATTCCAAATGTGCTTCCTTTAGGTTTTGTTGAGACAGCTTGGTTAGGTGAATTCAGCTTTATGATTTGTGACTATGTAAAAGGAAAGGAAGATGAAAGATGGACATTCCTTTTGTTTCTGCTTTTCTTGCCATATATTTGGATTTCTGTCAGAGAAGAGGAGGTCTAACTCCAGCTGCAGGAGTCAGAATGCATATGGAAAGTTCAGCGTAGAACTTCGGGACAGTGGCAATAACTGGAATTGTTACCTGCTATCTTTCATACTTTGCAGTGAGACTTTCTGATGTTGAAATTTTTAAAGTTGTCTGATGGCAATGCTCAGTGCTGAGGGACTGCATGCCTATTCTGAAGGGGTTAGGAGGGGGACAGTATCTTTCAGATGCCAACTGAGGAGCTGCAACTGACGGAGTTGCTGTTGTGAAGCTGAACAGTCATCAAACTACATTTGTCCTCAAGGTGTTGTGGCTGGCTTTGGTTTGGAGTGTTTTATAATGCAAGTGTATTAAATGCTAGAGACAAAATAGTGCCTAGTCAAAATGTTAATTGAAACAGTTTTAGTGGTATATATTACATGCTAATATACAAAGCAGTGTTAGTGTTCTGAAACATGCCTGGCAGGACGAGTTTAAGACAATTGCACAGGTAATTATGGGGATCTTTTTGTACCAAAACTCTTGAGCAGGAGGAAAACATCTGTGAAGCTCCCACTGAAACAGTTTGAATGGTGAAGAATTAATGCAGGACAAATTACGTTTAAATGCAGTACTCCTGCTGTAAAGAGTATAGCAGGCACCTTCCTCTAGGTCCCTACCTATTTATAATGAAACCCGTTGCATAGCCAGCAGCTCCGTTTACTGCTGTGTCATTTACAACTGCACTTTGACAGCTTTCTCAAACGCGGCCGCTCGCCCCTCAGGAGCCGGCGGGTCGCGGTGCCGCCCTTCGGAGCGCGGGGCGGGGCCGCTGCTGAGGGGTCGCCCATGGCGAGGTCGGGCGGGCGTGAGGCCACCTCGGCCACCTCGGAGTGCTTCCCGAGCCGCGGCTCCTCCACGCCGATCGCGGGCGGGCGGGCGGAGCGGACGCCCCGCTACACCCTGGGGCTGCTGCAGACGCCGCGCAGCTCGGGCAGCACCGGCGGCTCCTCAGGCGGCGGGGCGCGGCCCGGCAGCTCCAGCGGGGAAGGCCCCGCTCCCGGGCGCGCCGCCGGGAGCAGCGGGGCGAAGCCGGCAGTTTCCGATAGAGGAGGTGCGGTGCGGTCTCTGCACGGGTCTCGATCTCTTTATCCTCCTGACTTCTGTGCTCGGGTCGGGTTCCTCAAGAGCTGTTACGGGCCGTGCTTATTGAGAGGGCCCAGCAGCAACTCACCACTTGAGAGACCTTTTTTTCATTTCGCCTGCCAGAACAATGGAATTCGTTTCTTAGCACTTCTTTAAATAAATCTCTGTTACTTTCTTTGGATAGTGGTATCTGAGTTCTCTGGTGGGATCAATAAACTGGTTTCAGTTGCTGCACAGTATTTGCTTTACAGGAGAGACTTGAACCATGTTCAGTTGGTGGGCTTTGGTTTTGCGTTTGGTTTGTTGGTTGTTTTGGTGTTTTTGTTGGTGGGTTTTGGTTTTGTGTTGTTTTGGGATTTTTTTTCCTGGCCTTTGAAGTATTTTTAAGTGCTTGCGATCTTACGATGCAGCACAGCTATTTACCATACTTCACATAAAGCTGCTTCTAACACCAGTCTCCTGCTCCTCGAGGACAGGACACCTCAACAACTGCATACAGAAGATCTGTGCATCACTAGGTCGTAGGACTTGGTACCACAATCAAAGTTTGTATCTTGGCAGGCGGGAAAAACAGTTAAGGTTGAAATTTTTTAAGTGGAGACAAACTATGAAAATATGTGGAAATTATTTTGACATTTGCTGAAATGCATTCTGAAGTATGTATATCTCCATTATGCATAAATTGGAAAGTAGGAAAAAATGGTTTGGTGTAATGTACATGATTACTGGGGAATCCTGAAAAAAAACCCAAACCCCCCAAACTAGAATGCTAATTTGAATAGGGCATAACTTCAGTGCTGGTTTTAAGGAATATATGTGTGTGCCTTGGTACATCTGGTGTTAAAATTACAGTTTTCCCCATCTTATGGGAGATTCAGTACCTTCTAACATGAGAGTGAAGTCTCTTCTACCAAATCTCTGGGAGAACTTATGTCAAAATCTTAATTGAATGCTATTTTTAAAAATCATCTGTATGCATTGCAATGCTGATTTGTCCACTTAAAAAAAACCCCAACCAGTCTGAACCAATATTTTTATCAACTGTCACAGTTTAAGATTAAAAAACAAACAAACAAAACCCCCCACTTTGCCCCTCAAAAAACCCAAACAAACCCCAGTACTGCAAATATTTTTGTACCAACTGACCATGATAAAGACTCATGCGGTTAAAGGGTCATCTGAGAAGAATACTGAAGTATTTTGTCTTGCTTATCGGTTTTTAGTGTAATATAGGGAACAGAGGTGTTTGGGTTTGCCTGTCTTTTAATACCCGGAATTTTGTAGGTTTTAAGTGGAACAGCTGTTTGTATTCACTTTTTTATGTTAAAAAGCAATTATCTAAACTCAACTAAGGATGTGATGTTTTCAGTCATCTTGAGAATTGAAAGCAAGTAAATGACTTAAATAATTTATAGAACCTCATGTTCTGAGACAGAGATATTTTGCAGGACTTAAAAACAAGGATAGATCTTAAATACATGTGTAAATGAAACTGCTGTTAAGAAATATATCCCAGATTATTGTATGATTTTTGAGGGTTGATCCCCATAGATTCAAAGGGAGATCATGGTTAAGTGATTCTTTGCTTTCTTTTATTGTCCTGGTTTTTAAAAGTAATGCTCAGCTTTTAAAAAAAAAAGGTTTTCATAAATGTGTGTGATTTTGGACAGTGGTTTTAAAGCTGATGGGCAAATGCGTCCTAAAGCTGACTTACAGTATTCTTTCGTAAATCTAGAATTCATTAGAATACGAAGTTATGTATTGTAAAGTGACTTCTGTTGTATTATTTCACCCCAAAAACGTAAACTATTATTTTTTTATTGGCGCTGCAAGTAATGCCATTGCAGAAAATGATCATAAAAGCTTGTTTGCAAAATAGTCTGATTTTTTAATTTCATTTTGTACTCTGAAGAGCTTTTATAGAATGACATTTTACTGGGATATTTCTACTAAAAAAAATGAAATTTTGTAAGCTGCATATTTGTATGTTATTTTCTGAATAAAAACTTGTGTCTTTTCTCATAACTCACTCCTTTCTCCCTCCTTCAGAATCATATTTTGGGGACAAAAGTTCTTGTGTAGAAAATGCTAACACACTGAATCTCACAAGCTCTTCTTCTGTGCGAGGCCTGAATAGCACATGTATAGGAAAAACACCCCTCTCCTCCAGTAGATCTGTTTGCAGAAGCCATACCCCTCTTATGGGATATTCTGGTAAGACTAACAGCTCTTACAGGAAATAATTCTACTTACATTACTTATGTTATTTTGTTAAATACAGTTTAATTTTTTTTATGTGATAAGTTACTGAAATACACTCAAAACACAGCACACAATGTGTTTTGTACTATAGAGGATGCTGACAATGAATAGTACACCAACAGGAAAATACTACTTTAGATACTGAGATGATGTTTTGGTATTGCATCCTCTTGTCACTTGCTTTGCATTCAGGTATAAATTATCAATGTAGTTATAATTCAGACTTTTTTCAAATTGTCCAAAATTTAATTATATGTGTAGACATGTCAGTTTGTGCGGTCACTGAACTGAAGAGCTCAAATTCGTGCAAATCTTTAATTGGAACATCTTTTTAGCCTTGTAATGCATTTGACATCACATACAATATAATTCTCAAATTTCTTGATGCAAGTTTTATGCATTTTATGTTGGCATTTTCAGAGGTGTAGAACACTAGTTCTTCAGAACACTTACCCAGGAGCTCATTGGGGTGCATTTTGCAGTGCTTTTTATGAACTAAGTTGTGTTCCAGGATAACAATGCCTTGTGCCATGTTATGTGTATCTGTGTGCTGTGCAAAAGTCGTGGGATTTAAAGTGAGTTCTTTCACAGACTGACTAATCATTGTGAGTTCAGTCTTGAGTGTTCCTAAAGCCTGCCTGTGTCTGTATTTGTTGATCCTCACTCCATTGTTTGTGGTGCTCCTTCATCAATCTTGCATTGATCTGTATTGACTGTAACTGAATATATACAACTGTTTTACAGTTACATCCTCATCTGCAGTCTCTGCTCATAGTGTTGCATCAGTTATTGTAGCTGTAGTAGAAGGAAGAGGCCTTGCCAGAGGTGAAGTTGGAATGGCCAGTATTGACTTAAAAAATCCTGAGATGATATTATCACAATTTGCAGACAATACAACTTATGCCAAGGTATTTTATAGTCTAATTATTGTGACTTACTTTCTTGAAAAAAGCTTATGACTAAAGGGAAATTAAATTTCTGGCTTGTGGAAGAGATTTCTCAAAAATGAAGGAAACAAGTTCTAGAAAATGTGCAGTGTTGAAAGGGCTGCTGTTTTCTTCACTGTGCCTCAGTTTTAGAGATTAAAGAATGTTTTTGCAAAATACACTTTATATAGGAGTGAGATGCCTTGCTTTGAAGAGCACTGGGCAATGTATGGTAGTGAACTTGAAAATATTTTTCATCAGGCAAAAGAACTCTGAAAACAGAACTGCATAAATGTGTGTGTGTGGTTAATTACAGGGCTGGCTTTGGTTGTATAAATATTCCTTCTCAGTTTGAAATGAAATTCACTCAATTTACAGCCAAGTGTTCTGCTTACCAGCACTGCATATTGTACATTGTTTTGGAGAGTAGTCTCTGTGGTTTATGCAGGAGCATTAATGAAACATCTTATGTAGTGTTTTTGTTGTAGTTGTACATGCTAGAAAATAATGTGGCTTGTAGCATCTTTGCAATATTCAAGGAAATAAAAATTTACTTGGGAGAGAGTAAATAGCTATGACTCAGGGTATAAACAACCATCAAATCTGTTTACTGAAACAGATGTTGTATAAAGTAAATTTTTTTTATCATTACTGCTGTTAAGGCTTATCCTGCTCTTAACACACACAGTTACATATTGAACATGGCAGCTACAGAAATACTGCTGTAATGCACAGTACTAAAAGTCAAAATTATGTGTGCCTTGAAAATGAGACTGCTTGAGAAAATGTAGCCATTCAGATGATCATATGGCAACTTAAATAACAATTCACTTAGAGGTTTAAAAAAAATTGATTTGCTTGTGTTACTAGGAAAAAATCTTCTAATCAAAAGAGTAAGACTAGAATTCTGCAAGGAAATGTCAGATTATTTTTGTGGAATTTTTTTTCTAATTTTACTAATGATTTCATAACAATTGCAGTTACTTCTAAGAGTAAAAGGCTTTCTTTTTAGCAAGCAGTACCTATGTTTGAAGTCTAGAGTCTCCTGTTCTATTCTCTCAGGGTTAAGAACTGTGTTATTGTCCATGAAATTTATCTTTTTCAAACTGAGAAGTATTTTAGCTGCCCAGACTCTTCCCCCACCTCTCTACTTTTGAATTGAATTTAATGATAAAATGCAATTAATTCTCAAAAATCTTTCATATTTTCTCTTTAAACTCTGATAGCATAACTCTCTTCTTGGTAAGTTACCATCTTCCATAACAACCTATCAGGCCGTGGCCAGGTTGTTCACTGTTTTCCTGTCACACCATTGTAAAAGCTGGCATTTTTATTTGTAGAAATATGTTCCTAATTTTTCATTTAGATTATTGTTCTCCATTCTGTGCGTATACCTGGCACAGGTATTCGCTTCTAGTCAAAAAAAAAAGATATGCTGGTGTACAGCTGCTCTTCCCCAAATGCACAACACAACCTAATTTCTTGCTTCAGTCTCTAACACGTTTAACGATACTGTCAATACTAATTGATAGCATACTACAATAACACCTTTAACAATACTAACACACTTTAACAGTGTCTATCTGCTGATCAGCTGTTTTCTTACACTGTCAGAATCCATGTTTTGCTAGGGATTGGTATCCGGCTTACTGTATTTTCTCTTTCTTGTGCACCCTTTTATTTTTGAATGTTCTGCAAATTTATTCAGTGAAGTTTTCTTGTATTCTTTAAATTCTTCACGATTTGTTTTAACTGTGATATCTCTGAAAAAAAACCTTTCCAATCATTAGGAGATTTAAAAGGGCAGTGACAGCTCTCTCACCCCGAATACCCTTAGAGGATTAATTTTGTGCACTTTTTATACTTGTTCCCCTTTCCATTGGGACATCATCTATCCTTTCTTTCACATCTTAACTTCTAAGCATTTAAAATATAGTCTGTTTTTTCATATTTCTCCCTTGAGAATTTGTGGATGCTAATATAAGTGAATATAAATGCATAATGATGTTTGTCTTTTCTTACACAGTAAAAAAAAGAAGGGCACGTAATCTACTTTAAATTCCTACAAGGTGTTTGTCTAACATAAAGCTGGTTTAAATATGCACATTTTTAGCCGTATTAAGACTGATACCAGTGTTACAAGAGGAGGTTAGAACAAAATCTAAAACGAGTCTCAATCAAAAGAGTAATAGTATTCAGACCTGTTGCATTGCTTAGTCTTCCAGAGCACCATTAACCTTTCAGCTGCAAACCCAGAAAGCTGCCATCCATTGAAATAAGTCGTCCTCCCATTATAACCATGGAATATAGTTTTGGATATTTATCTTTTGCTTCAATGGCAAACATGATTCTCTGTTTAAATAATGGGGGATAAGCTCTAATTTTTATTTGCCTTTTTTTTTTTAAATTTATGTATATATAGATACAAAGGAATTTGACTCATTAGTGTAGAAGTTAGCAAAAAATTTGATCTTTATTTACAAGACTGGAACTGATTTTAAAATATTAGTGTTCTGTAATTCATTATTGCTGGTTCTTTATTGTCTAAAATACTTTCGATTATGTATGGTTTTTAATTTAATTTTTTGTTCAGGTTATTACTAAACTCAAGATTTTAACACCACTAGAAATAATAATGTCAAACACTGCTTGTGATGCAGGGAACACAACAAAACTGTTCAGTTTGATTACAGAGCATTTCAAGGTAAGATCTTAAATTTCATTCCATGTTTTAGGGTTTTTGGTGATCAGTTTTAGATGATTTTTGATTTGAGAGTTTTGCGCAACTTTTAAAATGTTAAATACAGACAAAATGTGTTTTCTTTGACTTTTGGGTCTAATTTTACCATGGCAAAGAATAATGAAAATGCAGCTCCCACATTGATACTTCTAATCCTGACAGTTAAAGACATAAGGATATTACTGATTAAAGCTGAAAGTTTTGAATTTGTGGCACGGGTAATTTGAGTAATACTGAACCTAGGAAAGATTCAGAATTTAAAAAAAAATCCAGCATTTTCTTTTGCTTCTCCCTTGTTCTTTCAGCCTGATAAATCAATGGGGCTCATGTATCATAGAATTGGAAAAAGAGCACTGGCAGGGTAAAAGCCGGTGAGATAACCCTAGTATATGTAATTTATGAGTTTTAAAGCCTCAGAACCTTTAAAAAACTGTGGTAATTACTGCCTAAATTACTTCATGCTTACAGAGCTGGTGGCCTCTTCATGAGTCCTCTTCTACTTCCTAAACTCTCCTCGTTTTTGCTCATAAATCACTGGTGCATCTGATTTGAGTTACATTGACCTGCCTCTGTGAGTGAGCTCTAGTGAATATTTGTGTGAAGACAGAACCAGCTGATAGATTTCTTAGAAACACGTATCACTAGAAAAATAGAGAAGTCTGTCTTATGTAACTTTTAAAACTATTCTCTTTCATCCCCATCTTCACAGAATGTGACTTTTACAACTGTCCAAAGAAAATACTTCAATGAAACAAAGGGTTTGGAATACATAGAACAATTGTGTGCATCTGAATTTAGCACCGTTTTCATGGAGGTTCAGTCAAAGTATGTTTAAATAAGGAAAAACTTACTGTGTCCAGATAAGTCTTTTAACAGCTTTTTACATTCTCACTACATGAGCCTGTGTCTTGTTGCACCAGTTAGAAAATCATGGCAGACCTCTCCTTCTATTTTGCCATCTGGTGTTTCTGATATATCTAGAAATTTTGGTAGAAAGCCTATTACAGAGTTGGGTGGTTTTTTGAGTTTTCACAGCTTTCCACTTTATCCTTTTCATTCTTCCCTTAAAGTTAAATTTGAAGAGCTATGATTGCCTTTCTTTCTGGCCTCAGCCACTGTTTTCCTTGTATCAACAATTTTAGGTGGTGATACTTGGTGACCAGGGTCTTCCAAGTCACATGTAATAACTGAAATATGTTATGTTCACAATACCAGCTATATAGTGTAGGGTGTCAAGTGTACAGAGGCTCAAACGTTTGTGAATATTTGATTTGCAAGAATATATGTTCTCTAGACATGTGTTAGAGCATGTTTGAAATATACTGCTTTTTCAGTGCTAGTAATCCCAGTAGTTGCCAGGCAGAAGTGTGAATGTTATTTCTGTTTTGCTTGGCTTTTGTGATATTTCAGCAGTGCTATTAAACATTCATTAAAGATTGTTTCTTTCCTAGGTATTACTGTCTTGCAGCTGCTTCAGCTTTGCTAAAATATGTTGAATTTATTCAAAATTCCGTTTATGCTCCTAAATCACTCAAGGTGCGTTTCCAGGGGAGTGAGAAAACAGCTATGATAGATTCATCTTCAGCACAAAATCTTGAACTAATAATCAATAACAGAGATTCTCGGTAAGAATATTTTTGCAAGTTATGCTTTTATAAAATTGTATTTCACTAAATTTCCTTTACATTTGTATCAAAGAACTGACCATTAAATTTATTTCTGTATGGAAGAATTTACATACCAATCAGCTTTCAAAAAAATATTTGGACAGAGAAGTACATTAGCATAGGAAATCCTACAAATAATTTTTGCTGATCCAGTGGCAAGTGTGAATTAGCCACACACAGCTATTTCCATTCATAGATCTTACCATGAAGCCTGGTTAGATATCTTTGTATCAGATATTCACAGGTAAAAGTTAATAGTACGGGCACACACTAAAATCACCTAGATCAAGTTTTTGTGCCAGTCTTAAATCTGGAGCTTGTCTCTCTTCATTTACTGTACAGGGAAATAAGTCCTCGGTTGCTTAAAGGTAGGCACTGTGGATACTATCTCAAATGTAGAGTTCCCCTTAAGTGTTTTCATGAGTTGCATCTTATGGTAAATATGCCCTTAATAAAACTGGTTTTGAATTTCCCCTTTTCTTTTTATTCTCTTGGCTATTGCTTTGTTCTTGTATGTCATGGTATTTCAGGAGTTTCTGCTTTATCTGTCTGTCTATCTATCTATCTATCTATCTACATGGTGTTTGTTTTTTAAATTTGTATCAGATTTCTTCCTATTCAAGTTCTGGTTTAAATCAATATATTAATATGGCCCCAGTGTTTTCACTGACCTTCTTCCAGCCAACAGCATCGAAAGTTCCAGCTTTCTAAAACTGTTTGGCTGCGTACTAGGTGTAGATATTATGGGTGGCTTATTCTAGACAGGTACAATCACCCTTAATTATGAAAGCCTGGGATATGTAACATGTAAAAGCCATAAACATGGAAATAATATTTCTAAATCATAAACATGTTATTTAGCTCCTGTATTGACTGTAAATCGGTTCTTCAAAAAATAAAATCAAAAATTATTTATCTTTTGGACTTCTAAGTATTTTAAATTATTTTCAGGAATGTATTTCAGTGAAAATGTTCTGATTAGTATTTGATCTCTGATTATAATTTGTCTCCTTTTGTAGGGTTGGTTCATTAATTTTTAATTAGCTTAGTTGGGAGAGCAGCAATGGAATAATACTACAAAACATGTGGAAAATACTAAGTACAAATGTATTTCTTCACTTTGGAAAATTATATAATTGAGGGCTAATAGTATATTAAATTACATTAAGTTACCTGACTTGCTAAACTGCTGTAGTTCATATGATATATGTGGCAAACAGGAAGATGCTAAGCACTTGACATTTACCATCTTTTTTTTGGTGGGTGTATTCTTCAAATCTATTTTATTTTCAAAGGAATGGTCACACACTTTTTGGCATCCTAAATTACACTAAAACTCCTGGTGGAAGTCGGAGACTTAGATCCAATATCCTGGAACCTCTAGTTGATGCTGAAACAATTAACATGAGACTGGACTGTGTTCAGGAATTACTCCAGGATGAGGAGCTCTTTTTTGGTCTTCAAGCAGGTAGTAGTTTATTTTTTGATACCTGATATTATATTTCTTGTTAAACATTTTTTCTACTATAGGGAAGAATGTAGTGTGACTCAATATGTTTGGAAAGTATTTTTTTAATGCTTTGTCAGGTGACATAATTTTTTTGGAGTAATCTATAATATCACAGATGTGATAACTTTTGTCAAGTATTTTGCGAAGAAAAGTGAATTTCTCTGATAAAGGGTGTAGAGGTCAATGAGCCCATAGCTTTTTCAAAGAATTGGAATTTGTCTTAACCTTTATGGCTAGATATGCCCTATGTTTGATGTATACAAGTAATATATAATGTAGACATTAAACAAATAAAGACACTGCTGAAGTAATACTCATATACATGTTTTTTTTCCTGTTGCTTCATAAAATGTAGGGATCCAGAAAAATGTAAAATATAATGCCAGAGTTTGAGTTAGTCCACCTGAAGCTGTATCATGTAATCTTAATCTGTGAAATATGATTCAATCTAAGAAAAAGAATATTTCTGAATTGACAAATGTCTACTTACATAATGATCACTACATGCTTAGGTATAGTAAATGTAGTTAAGACAAAATAATTTAGATAGCAGCTAATTTTAACCTAGATTTTACCCTGTAAATCATTTATGAAGATTGCATGTAAGAAAAAGATTAGCATTAGTACCACTAAATAATTGTGTGCATTAAAACAAAATAGATTTTATTACTATCTCAGTTCAGTTTCTGATACATTTACTTTTGTTTTACAGTTGTCTCAAAATTCCTGGATACAGAACAGCTACTTTCAGTTTTGGTACAAATTCCAAAGCAGGATACAGTATGTTTCGAATTACACCTTAGGCAATCAATTATCTGGTTATAACACGCAATATATAAATGTAATATTTATAAATATATATAATACATTAGAAAAAGGCTGCGTCTTAAAAAGACATGAAATAATGTTATCATAGATTGAGGTTGTTTCTTGCTTTGCAGCAGTAGATGATACTCTCAGCAGAATGTTAGAAAAATTCAGGTTTGCATCAATATTACATTCATCTTAATTTATGCAAGTATACTTCCAAAAATGTTTACTTTATCATCACTCCCCGCCGTTATTCTTCATAAGTGTACATCCTATTTGGATGTTCCAGGTGTGTGACAGATCATTCTCTGACAGTGAGAAAGTAGCGGTACGTTTAGTTAAATGAATTTGCAGGAAATATAAAAGTTAAGCTAGGGCTGCTCCACTGACATAGCATTTAAGTCTGTAAGACTATAAGTCTGTAAGATTTAAGTTCCCAGCACAAAAAACAGTCAACTGCTTCTCTGATTGTCTTGCTTTACATTTCCAAGTGACTGTGGACAAATTGATTTCAGATGCTGTAGAGGATAGTCTTGTGTTTTGGTCAATTGAATGAATCATAAAGAAGTAACAGTATATAGAATTTGACTGATTATATTCATTAATTTTCTCCCGTTGGTCTTAAATGCAGCATGTACAAACACTCACTTTAAGACATCAGTTGAGTTAAAATTCGTGTAAGAGCTAATTAGGCGAAGGCACATTCCGTTATGAAATACCAGCTTTTCAGACATGACCACATCTGTCCTTTCAATGTCTGATTCCATCATGGGACTTAGATCCCATATTTATTTGGAATTATCATTCTTCCGTTCATGCATTTAGAATTGTTTAGTTCTATCTTTTACAGAAAACAACTTTATATAGAATGTAAGATAAGACAAGAGCTGCTCTCAATTACAAGAGCAAAGAGATCATTATATATGAATGAGAAAATATTTCACTTGGGGTCATACTCCTGTGTTCATGTGCTTATCTGTTATTTCCTTAAAATCCTCTTGCAAAGTGCGTATGTACTGCATATGTTGTGCCCTAATATTGGCAGCAAAATTCTTCATCATAATTGTTAATGGAGCATACAAAACAAGGTAGAATGTGTGAATGAAACATTTTGAAGAACAGTCATTATTATAAGAAAAATTTTCAAATAATTGTTAGATTTTTTTTGTTATTACATGGGCAGATGCTTAACAATGTACATATATTAACCAAAATCAACTAAACTGGATTATGTTGTGTTTGACAGCATTTATGGAAAAGGCTATGTGCTTCATTATAATGCATAATGTATTTGCTTTGAAAAAGTCTACAAGGTATGTAGAGATTTTACAGAGTTATGTATACACAGAAAATTAAAAGAAGTTTTCACAGCTTGGGTTAGCAGAGTGAGTCAATCAGAGTGAGTCAATCATTATCAGTGCAGACATATGAAAATCTTAGCTACTGATGGGTAAACTATCACAGTAGGCAATGTAAAATTTAGGTAAATGGTTTTTTGTGCACTTACTGAGTTGTCAAAGTGAGCTTATGAAGCATTTTAGGAATTTTCATTAAATTTATAAACCTGTTAAGAATATGAGTTCTAGTAGTTCTTAAGTACTTTTTTAAATAGTCAGACATACAAATGCCTCAAATACTTGAAAAATTTTTCAACAGGTTAAAACTGCTGAATCAAAAATAACCAATTTAATCTACCTGAAGCATACTTTAGAACTTGTGGAGCCTCTGAAAGTAAGTTTTGTCTTCTTCGTTTTTGGGGGTTTTTTTTTGGTAAAGTACAGACCATTTTGTCTTTATTTTTATAAAGTGCAGTTTGTTACGTTTCATAGAATATAGAATAGAATATCTCTTACGTTGGAAGGGACCGATAAAGTAAAAAAAAATATATATTTTGCAGAACACAATACTTCCAACAGTCTGTTGATTCTTAAGCCAGTTGAAAATACGTATTTGAGGCTGATAATCTGAAGATCAGGATTCCTACCATTACCTGAATAATTGATGTTATAACAAACATTTAACTGAAAGTCCTCCTCACATTCTGTGAAGTACTTAGCAACTGCTGATAAGCCTCAGTGAATCCAAGAACTTTCAGTCCTTTAAAAAGTCTACAAAAAGAAGTAACTGTTCATGTTCATATTTTAATCTTCAACAGGATGCTTTAAGAAGCTGTAACACACAGCTGCTAAAGGCTTATTACAATTCTCTTGAAGATGCAAGGTATTTATTATCATACTTGAGCTAGTATGTTAGAAACGCATCTCAGAAGTGGCTGTAAGGTTAAAGGTGTTGCATCTTTGCTTATCTATAGTTACAGGTACATCTCAGTTCTTTTGCCCAAAATCTTATTTTAATGGTCAGAAATCCCAATTTTCAGCTAACAAATACAGGAAAAAAAGCAAAGGAGCTAGCTACGATACTGAAACTGCTGATCATAGAATCATAGAATCAGCCGGGTTGAAAAGGACCTCTTAGATCATCAGAGTCCAACCCTTGATCCAACACCGCTGCAGTTACTAGACTGTGGCACTCAGTGCCACATCCAGTCTCATTTTAAAAACCTCCAGGGATGGAGAATCCACCACCTCCCCGGGCAGCCCATTCCAATATCTGATTACCCTCTCTGTAAAGAATTTCTTCCTAATATCCAACCTCAACCTCCCCTGGCAGAGCTTAAGACCATGCTCTCTTGTCTTACTGACAGCTGCCTGGGAGAAGAGACCAATCCCCACCTGGCTACAACCTCCTCTCAGGGAGTTGTAGAGAGTGATGAGGTCTCCCCTGAGCCTCCTCTTCTCCAGGCTAAACAACCCCAGCTCCCTCAGCCTCTCCTCATAGGGCTTGTGTTCAAGTCCCTTCACCAGCCTGGATTCTCTTCTCTGGACCTGCTCCAGCACCTCAATATCCTTCCTGAACTGACCTCCATTAGAAATTATTCTGAAAAGATGAGTAGTGGTTTCCTAGAGTCCCCATAATAATGCAAAAATCAATTCTTGCCTGTATATTTGAGAAATAATTTATATCTCCAGAAGATTATATCTCCCAGAAATGTGAATAGTATCTTTGGTCAGACTTAGGTATAGTCACACCTCATACTGAGGTGAAAATAGAAATGAAGTGTAGTGTTTTGTTTTAATAGTAGATAATTAGCTTCACTTATACTGTTATTTGCAATACTATTTGTAATTTGAGAATGATATTGCAAGTAAAAATCATGAAGTATTAACTATCTGTGATACAACTAATATTGCAGATTTGGAATTATACTTGAAAAGATTACAACTGTAATTAATGATGATACAAGATACACAAAAGGATGTCTGAGTATGAGGACCCAGAAGTGCTATGCTGTTAAGCCTAACATCAATGAATTTCTTGACATAGCTCGTAAGACATACACAGAAGTTGTTGATGACATAGCAGGTATTTAGAAAATAAAATTTTGGGGTTTTTTGAGTTCAAAGTACCTTGCAACTGGCATGTAGAAGTGGTGTAATCATATGTGCTATGACCTTTGCAGATGTAAAAAGTATTTAGTGTTAGCATAAATTGGTTGTCATTGATAGCAACTGAAGTTCTTTTGAGATACTTACTGAGATGCTCCTTTTGTAGATAAAAACTCAACTGTATTTTAATGAAGTTGAACAATGTGATGGTTCGGACTTGGCTCCCTGCCAAATGCTCAACCCTCCAGTAGCAGCCCCTCTCTTCCCCTCTTTCTACTTCCCCCAGGGCAAAGGAAAAAAAACTATGTAAATTGAAGAACTTGAAAACTAAGCTAGTTATATAAAAAATATATTTTATGTATATTACAGTTAAGATGCTATGTACCCAGCAAACGGGAATCCAAACACCCCCCGAAGGGATAGGGAAAGGGGAAAAAAGGGACAAAAGGAAACAAAAAGGGACACCGAATAGATATGTGCAATCAAACCCGAGAACTAGTAAAATAACTAGTAAAACAAATCTCACCACATCCCTTAGAAAGCAGGCTTGGCAGACATGGCCAGTACTCTCCAAGCTTCCATGTGGCAGGTCAGTGGATGCTGCAGGCCTCAGCCTTGGATAAGCGAGACCAATGCAGGGACCCACTGTTCCCGAACTCCGGCGGAAGAGAAGAAGAACGAAGGCTGCTCCTCCCCTCTTATTTATACCACGATTTACGTAAAAATTGTATGGAATACTGGGAACACTGCCCCTTCCTTGGTTACAAACTGGTAACCAGGGAAGGCTTAGATTAAAACCACCACAAACAGTTATATTGTGATTCCTGTATTCAAAGCGCTGTTACCCCTTATCCTGTAAAAGTACAAAAAATTTGAAGTAATGTAACAGAATTACTCCACCTAAAGCATTCTGCATAAAACCTGTAGATCTTTGGTTTAGCTTCTTCATTTCAAATATCTGAGTTCTTGGTTCTTTATATTTTAAGCAGTCTTGATTTCTCTGTGGACTACCTTTTAGCTATATTAAGAGTTGGAAAATAAAAACAAAAGAAATTTTAGCATGACATGTTATTTTGTTATAGTAACCTTCCTGTTTAAGCCAAAATAGAAAAAAATTGTCTTTTGAAATTGATTTCCCTTTTTTAATATAAAATGTTGATTTCTAGCTAAAGGACTATCTTAGTTTAGTCTATAAGTGGAAACCTAAAATAGCATCAGAAATTTTAGTTATTTTTGTTAAATCTTTCTTTGTAGGTATGATAACACAACTTGCAGAAAAGTACAACCTACCAATGAAAACAAGTTTCAGCTCTGCTCGTGGATTTTTTATCCAGATGAATGCTGATTGTTCAACATTACCCAATGGCCAGCTTCCCCCAGAATTTACAAAGGTATCTGTACAAGATATGTTTTTCCATAATATGTCTGTATACTTTATGTAAAATATATAATATATATTAATAAAGTACACACTATTCTGCAACAATCAAAATAATTTCAGTGAAGATATCTAGAAGTAAATGAAGGTTTAATTGGTATATTTCTGTAACTACCCTATTTCCAGTTAATAGTTCCAGTTAGAGTCAGAAATGTACATGCAGTTATGTCATGTGTAAATACGAAGTTATATATATCTTCCTGATAATAGTTGTCTGAAATTAACTTTTCATAAAAATTTATGGTAAAAAAAAAATTATATGGTAAAAATTAAACCAGTTGTTGTTCTTCCTCCTTTTTTACCCCTAATACTGTTCCCAATTTGTGTTTTTAAAAACTGTTTTTCTCTCTGATAGTAAGGCAAGTTCTTATTGTTGGTTTCAATTCCCCATAGATCACTAAAATGAAAAACACATATAGCTTCACTTCAGCGGATTTAATAAAAATGAACGAAAGATGTCAGGAGTCCCTTAGAGAAATATATCACATGACCTACTTGTAAGACCTGTTAAAACTATTTAATATTTGCTAACTACGTTTATTTTCTCCAATTAACAACTAATTACAGGATTTTTTAAATCTGTCTTTCTGTTATGTCTACTTACAGAAATAGTCCAAAGCAGCACTGTTCAAGTGTATATGCTGAGACAAAAAAAACCATAAAGTGTGTATTGTATTAAACATGATTGCAAATATATAATCATTTATTAATAAGGTTGGTCATTGTATTAATTTTATGGGTGAATTATCTACACAAAATGGCACAATGCATGCATCAGTTTTGCATTAGTAATGCAGAATCATTACTTGCAATCAGTTCCTTGTATTTAGAGTGGAACTGTCTATTTGTGTATCTTGTCCTGCTGCATGTCACGTTGCTCTGCTGATTCAGAAGACATACTAAAGTATAATGTTGCCTGTCAATTAAATGGAAATTCTTTCTAGCAGCCGTGTAGGGGTTTTATTAATATGAAGATGTATAGGAATTAGGAGTCATATTTCACATGTTAATAAAACATGCCTGATTTCATAGCTATATTTTTAGTTCATTCTCTTTGTGAAGCTTTCAGATGAGCTGTTGGTATTTGAGGTATGTGTCTTGTGTCTGATAGCAGGATGGTATGTTCCCATGTGGCAGTTGTGATTGTATTTTATGAGTGACTTTTGGTCCTAATGTATGCAGTAGGAACATCATAACTCCCTTATTTCTCTAAGTTGGATGAAGTGACAGTATGTGCTTTGCAACAGCTAAATCAGTGTCTTATTTCAGAATAGTGTGTAAACTACTGAATGAGATCTATGAACACATTCATTGCCTGTACAAGCTGTCTGACATTGTGTCTATGCTGGATATGCTGCTTTCGTTTGCCCACGCCTGCACTCTTTCTGATTATGGTAAGTTCTTCCCGTGATTCTGTTATGAGCCAGATAAAGAGCCTTCTGTTGAAAAATAACCGGGCTGGTTGGTCTGGTTCTGTTTCTTTTTTGTGAGTCTCAGTAGTCTTTAGGTGAGTGTCTCTGATCTGTCCCCATTTTGTGCTGATGTTCTTTTTCTTTCTGTTCATTGAAATTAAATTCTGCCAGTTAGTTGCCATAAGCTTCACAGTCAGTCTTCTCAAGATAGCCAATTTAAGTATATTTTGTTGAAAAGCATTAAGTCTGTGAACATTCTGAGTTTACACTTCTTTCTCTTTTAAAGGTAGCAAGATAATATGAGCAGGTCAACACTAAGTATATACCGTAAAACAAAATATATGTCTACCTTTGTTTCTCTCCTTTGATGTCTGTAACACTTTTAGACATTTTTGGAAGTAGAGTCTTCTGAGGATTCCAGGATTAAGTGCTCACCTGCATATTGTTCATCCTGCATCCCTAGTCCAGTTCTGCAATATATAAATGAGCACATTGTCCTCTACAACTGCTGGCTTGAGATACTTACCTACAGTACAAGACAGTGTAGATACTAAATCAGGTCTAGAAGCCATCTCAGGAGATGTATTAGCTTATCATTACTGATGCTGCTCTGTAACCTCCAGTCCATAGGCAGGATTTGTTTACTTCACAGTATGAACTGTGAATGTTTATGTGCTGATAATTCAGCCATAGCACATGAACTGATCTGTACATGAACATTAACTGATATGCTTGAGGTATCACAACCTTTTCCCAACAAGTGAATCAGAGCATACGTTTTCTACAGCAGTAATAAGACCAAAGCCTTTCAGTCCCTTTGCCACCTGACTTTTTTACCTAATGATTAAATCATAGAATCATTTGGATTGGAATGGACCTTAAAGATCATCTCATTCCAATCCCCTGACACGAGCAGGGATGCCACCTGTTAGGTTGCTCAAGGCCCCATCCAGACTGGCCTTGAAGACTTCCAGGGGCAGGGCATCCACAGCTTTTCTGAGCAAGCCATGACTGTGCCTTACCACCCTCACAGGGAAGAATTTCTTTCCAATATCTTTCAGTTTGAAGCCATTCCCCCCTTTTCCTGTCACTGCATACCCTTGTCAAAAGTCCCTCTCCAGCTTTCTTGTAGGTCCCCTTCAAGTACTGAAAAGGCCACATAAGGTCTTCCCCAAAGCCTTGCCTTCTTCAGGCTGAACAGTCCCAGTTCTCTCAGCCTTTCCTCACAGCTGAGGTGCTCCAGGCCTCTGATCATCTTGGTGCCCTCCTCTCGAATCACTCCCAACAAGCTGATGTCCTTCCTATGCTGGGGACCTCAGAGCTAGAGGCAGCACTGCAGGTGGGGTCTCACTTGAACAGGACAGAGGGCAGAATCCTCACCATCACCTGCTTCCCATGATGCTTTTGATGCAACCCAGAATACAGTTGACTTTCCGAGCTGCAAGTGCACGTTGTGGGTTCATGTCCAACCTCTCATCATCAAATGGATCGTTGTAATATGGTAACATAAAACTAGAGGAAATACTACCTTGGTTCCCATGCATATATAAGATATATATGTAGGAGTAAGTCCACAACCCCTGTACATTATACACTTGCATCAGTATAAAAATAACTACTTTAGCTCTTTGTATTTTTCTTTATTACTACCAACCCTACTTACTAGAGAACACAAACATAGAGTGTTAATTTAGAAATCAAGTTTTAGTTATGGGTTTCTTTTTGTAGTAATAAATCATGAAGACTTGCATGGCAATCAGAATGTATACCTGAAAGGGGTTGGTAGTTCTTCCCAAGAGCTTTATGTTGGTCTTGCTCACTACAGGAAAGTGAAAACTGGGACATCAAAACCACAGAGTTTGACTTTGGCTCTGCAAGAATTAACTTTATTTCAAAACATACTAGTTCAATAATGTAAAGGTTTCCATACTAATTCCACAATATTTTATATCTTTTTTCTCATTAAGTTCGTCCAGAATTTACGGATACTTTGGCAATCAAGCAGGGATGGCATCCCATTCTTGAAAAGATAGCTATGGAAAAACCTGTGGCTAACAACACATATCTGACAGAGGGCAACAATTTTGTCATTATTACAGGACCAAATATGAGTGGAAAATCAACATACCTAAAACAGATTGCACTCTGTCAAATTATGGCACAGATTGGTGAGTAAGAGTGTACAATCTTAGTCATCTTCTGCAGCTTTTTTTATTTTTTTTGGCTTAAATTTTTTATAAAGTTGAATGATTTGGCTTCTAGAATAATATTCTATCTAAATAAAATAGGAATAGGTAATTTTTAGTCTGTTTGCTCCTTCCAGCTCTTGTGTTGCTGACAGAGGAAACTGCAGATTTTGCATCTGCCACTGGAAACTTAGGGGGCCCCATCTGTGTATTTGGAAGGCTCCCCAGTCTGTCTTCAGAGAAGCACAGTTGTATGGTCTTAATTCTTTAGAGCACCCTAACTCAATCCAGCACCTTACACTAGATTGATACTGAGTGTCCTTGAAGTATGCTGGTCAGACACACCTGCGTTAGGTCATCCAGAAGGAACAGATGACCTTGAGCATACCTCAGTTATGTAGAGAAAAGTGTTTCCAGACAAGTATAATTAATAGATAAATAACTACTTCAAATAAAAGTAGTAATAAATACTGCACACTTCTGTTACTAAAACTATAAAAGTAAACTGACTATTTGCAAAGTCTAACTGAGACTCATCCCTAAATTCAGGAATTCCTCATGACTTTTTTTCTTAAAGCTCATTCTGGTAGCACAGAACTAAGACCTTAATAGCCTGATCCTAACTCTACTAGAATGAAACTATTTAGCAGTGGAGAAAAAGAGTTATCCATCATGTGTTTGTGTGTTCAGTCCCCAGCAATTTCAAGTTCTTGAGGAATTCCCCTCAAAAACAGGAGTTTAATATGACTAAAGGAGACTGTAAAGTCTTCTGGCAGATTTCTTGTTCTTTTCTGTTTGGTAAAACTAAGAGGCCTCAAAGTGGGATAAAGGCAATATAACCTTGGGTTTGAGAAACTAAGATTTCTTGTAATTAGTAAATCAGAGGTTACAGAAATGCAAATTAATCCTAGTGTTTATTCTCACTTTTTTGTCCCTTTAGACTTACACAAGCTTTAGGCATATGATTTCTTAAAGGTTTTTTTAATAAGCTTCTTTAATTACTGTATCTATATAATAATATTTTTCTTATAAAATCATGATAGAACATAATCTTATGAAACTTTATCAGGTAAAATGTATTTTTTACTGTGCATAAAAACCAAGTGTAAAACTAATGTTTTTTTTCCCCACTGACATATTCAGGTAAACGTCACACTGATAAACTTACATTTTACTTGCTTTGTAGGTTCTTATGTCCCAGCAGAGTATTGTTCTTTTCGAATTGCAGAGCAGATTTTTACCAGAATAGGTATGGATGATGATATAGAAACAAATGCATCAACGTTCATGAAGGAAATGAAAGAGGTATTGAACATAGCTAATCCAGGGCCCAAGGCCCATTTTTACTGTTAAGCTGATAGAAATCATACTAGTATATTTCTACTGAAATAGTGTACTTTGAAAAGTAGTCAGAAATCCAGCCTTCATCTCTTTGATAATAAACCACAGAAAACTAGGCATATCTTAAATAAAAAGATATTCCAGTGAAAGTAAGAGTCAGTGCACTGTTGGATAGCAGTTTTAACATTTTTGGTTTTGCTTAAATGATTATTTGTAGGGACCTAAGTCCTCTCAATTCCCTCTCCCAAACTGATACAATTTTGAAGGAAAGTGGTATGTTCAATAGAAGAGAGAAAGAGTGCTGTAGTATTTGCTTGATTAGAATTGACAGCTGTTTGAAAGCTTTGAAAAGGTAAAAGTTCTGTATCTGACAAGATTTCATTTGAATAACACAAAATTTTCCTATTTTTAAAAAATGCCTTTATAGGAATGATAACACATTGAATATTTTTCTAGATAACGTACATCATACAAAATGCTAATGATAAATCACTGATCATAATTGATGAACTTGGCAGAGGTACCAGTGCTGAAGAAGGTATTGGCATTTGTTATGCTACCTGTGAATATCTGTTGAATTTAAAGGTAATTCTGTTTTGAAAGAAATTTAAACCTTAGAATTATTTTGTCATCGTGAAAGTAAATATAGTATTTTCTCATAATTTAACATCAGTTTTGTAGAGATTTCTTGCCTAAATGTGATTTTTCATAACAGATGAATAAAGGAGTTATGATGATAGAGGAAAAATGCTGACATAAGCTGCACTTCTGTTCACTGGTTGGTGTGATTTAACCCCAGTAGGCAGCGAAACACAACCCAGCCACTCACTCAGTCCCCCAGAGTGGAATGGGGGGAGATCAGAAGGGTAAAAGTGCAAAAACTTGTGTGCTGAGATAAAGACATTTCAGTAGGTAAAGGAAAGCTACACGCACAAGTGAAATAAGAAACTCATGCAGTACTTCCTATCGGCAGGCAGGTGCTCAGCCATTTCCAGCAAAGCAGGGCTTCATTACACAACTGTTACAATATCCCTGAATGTCCGTCCCTTCTCCTCCTCCTTTGCAGTTTTTATTGTGGTGTTGGATGTTGTGAGATACCCCTGGGGTCAGCTGGGCCATCCTGGCTGTGTCCCCTCCCAGCTCCGGCTCTCTGGCAGGGCAGGTGAGGAGCAGAACAGTCCTCAGTGCTGTGCAAGTGCTGCTCAGCAGGAGCTAAAACGTGGCTGTGTTACCAGCACTGCCTTGTTCCAAAACACAGCACAGCACAAGTTTCTATGAAGAAAACTAACACTAGTCCATCCAAAACCAGTACGCTGTGTCACCATATCTTTCCAACTTGCTGGCAAGCTTGTATTTCTGTCAAGAAAGAGAATAACCCAGTCTCTTTAGTTTTGTTTAGTACAGCTTTTTGCTTCAGTGTGAAAGGTGAACCTCTTTACCTGATGGTTACCTTTCAAAGTACTCAGTTTCTGAATTGGTCACAGAGGTTAAAGGCTTGAGAAAAGGGTAATATGGTTTTAGATGCATTGAAAATTTCACCTCTGTTACTAGTTTAGTGATCCAGCTCAGGTTGTTGTTAGCTTTTTGAAGTAAGTGTGCAGGTGTTTGTTTCTCCCCAGAGTTTATTCAGAGTACTTTGTGGTTTTTTTGGTTTGAAAAGCTCAGATATTTTCTGTCACTTGTATTTTTGATCAAGCACTCCTTGAGACTATTAAGCAACCATTCAAATTAACACTAGTCAGATTTTGTAAGCAGAATGGATTTGTTTTTGCTTCTGATGTTTTTCTCCTATTGAGAAAGGAGCGAGAGAATCTCCAGTCGGAAAAGATATACTTGCCAATGGTAGAACTCACCACTTAAAGATTTTAATTTGCTTTAATAATTTGAAGACAATTTTTCAGTGTTTTGGAGGAAGACATGGATATCATTTCCAAAATAAATTTTCTTTCTTGTTTCCTTATTTAGGCATTTACACTGTTTGCTACGCATTTCCTGGAACTGTGTCATATGGATGGTTTATATCCCAATGTGGAAAATTACCATTTTGAAGTGCAACATGTGAGAAGCAGTGCTGGGAATAAGGAGAAAATTGCTTACACTTACACACTTTCTAAAGGATACACAGAGGAAAAGAACTATGGTAATGGATTCTGCTATGGAACACTGTTTCATTTATGAGGCGTGGAAGATTATTTTTCTGCTGACAGTTTCTGCCGAGGTTGTATCTCTCTGTATCAAAGACAGATACAGAGATGTGCAGATCTATAATGTGTTCCAAATACTTGTGTGTTCTAAGTAACTATGTAGTAAGAGAGTAGTTTTGGGAAATATGACGACTTTACAAGTAACTTCATAGTGAAAAAAACATTTTACTAATGTCAGTAGCTACTTGATTCATGTCTGTTGGAATGAGTTGAGGCATTATTGGATTATGGGTCAGTAAAGGAATAAGTGCCATTATTTTCCCTTTAACCCCTAATGTGACTCATTCTACCCAGTTATAGTATTACAAGCAGTAACTTCATGTATTTTAGAGGTAGATTTACAACAAAATAGATATTTTATTTTGTAGCTCTCAAAACCATGTTTTTACTAACAACAACAAAAAAAAGGACACTAAGAGAAAATGTACTGAAATTATTTTAATAAAGTTTAAATCTTCACCCTTTAAAAAAAAAGGCTAGGTTAATCCTGGAAGACATAAGGTGGAAGGTAGGAATAAAAATTACATCAAAAATCCTGATTCATGTTTTATATGTTTAGGATTAAAAGCTGCAGAAGTTTCCTCCCTACCATCATCCATAATTTTGGATGCAAAGGAAATCACGAATCATATCGCAAAACAAATTTTGGTATGTAGTAGAAAATTACAATGCTGTAATTCACAGTTTTTATAAAACTCAAATATATTTTCAGTTTCTGAAAGGATGCAGGATAAGCACTGCCTACAGTTTAATGAAAATAGATTTCACTAACATTTGTATTTCTGGAACCAGTTATAAAAGGTCATACTGAAGGTCACTGCTGGGTGACAGCAGAAGACAGCCCTGAGGGTAAAGCTCTATTGGATGCAACGTTTGTATGCAAACCAAGAATTGGGAGATCTAAAATAGGCTGGAAAATAGCTAATATTAGTATTTGAATAATACAAGATGATTTATTTCATATTTTAATGCATGTATATTTTTAAGAACAGCACAGGCAGAAGAGCACTCCTGAGATGATGAAACAGAGAGCTGTGTACCATTTAGCAATGAGATTGGTTCAGACTGCCAGAAACTCTCGATTGGACCCTGACAGTTTGCGTATATATTTAAAAGGCCTGAAGAAAAAGTATGAAGCCAGTTGTCCTGCGCCTGGAGAAACTGATGAGGAACAGTAATGTGTAACAAAGGCTGTTGCTCTAATTTTTACAATTGCAAGATGATTCTGGTTTTTCCCCCATAGTATTAGAAAACACTTCTTTTCACATGGTTTTAAATTTTAATGCTTAGTCTAAATTAAACTCACTAGTGGAAGACCATATCCTTTATGTGTTTTTTTCCCCCAGTCATACTTGGAATAAAAGTGTTTACTTCTATGAGGAACACAGTTCTTTTTGACAGTAAATTATAGATTTTTAGTTATTTTAGAGACTAAAAAAGTTATATAATATGTAGTGTTCTATAGGTGATACATCTGTTATTACAGTTTTTTCATCTGATACAAAAGATCTCGCTTAAGAAAAAGCACTTTGAAACAGATGGTCCACTTGTGTTGCACAGGCAAGTTCTACTTGCACTGTCAAACATGCATCCAGAAATCCTGTTGTTCCCAAGTCAAGGAGGGTTCTAACGCTGAGTCATTGTGTGTAATCTAATGTAATATAGGCAGTGTAGGTCTGCTACCCCTCCAGAAATGGGCAACCAGAGCATTTTTGTAACACAGTAACAGTAAATTACTGTGGTATTGACAGTGTTGATCAGTTTTTGTTTAGAAAGTGAGTAACAGGAAATCAATAAAAAGTTGAATATCATTCTTCCTTGATTTTTTTTTTTTTAGCACTTCATTGTGTGACTAACTATGTATTCCAGCTTGAAGGAGTTTATCTTTTCTCATTCCCTTGTAACCAACTTTGGCCAAGAGGTCTTATATATTTCTCTATGTGTGTGGGTATGTGTATACATAAGTTATTATGCCTATAACTATTAAGTGGGTGATATAAAACAATGCAATATCTAATTATTAACAAGAAATATATTTTTATTTACAGTTATATTTCCTTTTTAAAAAGTATCTACCTTCGTAAACATACGAGTGCACCAGAATAATTTGTAGTAGGCACAGTGTGGTGTTTCACCTAAGAGGATTTTTTAATTGATTTAAGCTATTATTTATAATTCCCCTCTCTTCAGACCTTAAATGTTGCCAATTATATTACTCATACCCATCAGTAATACCATATTTGTTGTCTATCCCAGCGAGGATCATGGGAGAAAAAAGTACTTTTGTGTTGAGGTCTCTTAACAAGAGGAGCCAGTTGGCAAACGATACTTGTTTCAGCCATGGAGTGCACAAGGGTGCACGTCTCCTTGTTGGGGTCAGCCAGCACAGCACCAGAAGGAATAGTTCTGGGAGTTCATGCCCGAGTCGGGCCGGGAGCGGGGCGGTTCTGCGGGGCGGGGCCGGGCGGGGGCGGGGCGGGGAGCGGGGCTGTGGCGGGGCCAGGCTGTGAGCGGGGCGGTTCTGCGGGGCGGGGACGCTCCCGCGGCCGCCTCTCGGTGGCGGAAGTGGCGCTGGGGCGCGGCAGAGGTTCCGGGGCAGCGGCAGCATCGTCGCCGCGATCGCCACCATGACGACGCTCCGCGCCTTCACCTGCGACGATCTCTTCCGATTCAACAACATGTGAGCGCCGCCCGGCCCCGCTCTCCCTGTCCCTCCCCGAGCCCCTGCGCCCTTCCCCTTCCCCCGGCGTGCTCGGGGCTCCCCGACGGGCGGCCGGGCCCGGGCGGGAGCCCTCGCTGAGTGCCGCTCTCTCTCCCCCGCAGCAACCTGGACCCGCTGACCGAGACCGTATCCTTCCCGCCGGGGCGGGGGCGCGGGGCCGGGCGCGGGCGGCGCAGCCGGGGCAGCCACAGTTGCTCCTTAACCGAGCGCCCAGTACGGGATCCCCTTCTACCTGCAGTACCTCGCCCACTGGCCCGAGTACTTCATCGTCGCCGAGGCGCCCGGCGGGGAGCTGATGGGTTACAGTGAGTGCCGGGTGTTCCGGCGGTAACGTCTCCCTTCGTTGCCTATTTGGGGCATTTTAACGCGGGAGCTTTTCCTCCTCTTCGCGTTTTCCACCCACCAGGGAAGGAAGGTTGCGTTGAATCTTCCCGTCTCATAAACGTCTAAGGGTATTACATAGGACTCAAGGCAGCAGCTTCCAGTTTGATGTTCCTAGTGCAGCGAGGAGCCTTGGCTGTGGTAACGTCCACCCGGGTTTGGGATAGGCAAATAGATGTCCCTGTAATCCTGGAATCCAAGTCACTGTGCTCAGCTCTGATCACACACAGTCAGTAAAAGCGCTGGGCCTGGGTTTTGCATTGTTCTGTAAGGGAAAACTGGGTCTGGATGTCTTTGCTCATCTGCTGTGGAATATTTGTGTTTTTCAGAAATCATGCCAGAGAGAACTGCCAAGGGGGGATGGGACAGGAGGGCAGGTCTTTGTAGGAACCCAGGAAATAATGTACTTAACACAGTAAAGCTTAAAGTATGAACTGTACAGAACATTTCTCTGTACCCCTCACTACAGTTGCTTATTAGCAGTGGCTGATATCTGTAAGAGCATTGTGTGATAGTGTTAATGTTCATTAATGAACTAACACTGTTTTGGCCTTGTGTAGAAAGGAGAGAAACTAGAAAGAAGCCCCCTAAAACAGCATCTTTGCCTCCCCCTCCGCCCGCTTTTTTTTTCCCTTAAACATACTGTGTTCTCAGAACCTTAGCTTTCTATTGACAGATTGGCAAAACTTCCTGAGCAAAATTTCCCCCCCATCTCCAAAGGTCTCAAATCGTTGCTGGGATGGTGGTTTTGAGCTTCTAGCCCTCTGTTCCTCTATTAGTTTAGTCAGATCCTAAATTCTGTTCAGTGAAAGACTGACAAGAATTGCTTAAAATTCGCATTTAGAAGTCACACCTCAAGCAAGGAATTTGCGAAGTTATTTTTATTTACGCTGGTCAAGGAATTGCTGTAATACTTGTGCAAAATGACATTCCCCATAGTTGCTGAATCATAGAGTGATAAGGTAGACATCCCTGTTTGGGCCTTTACCACAGCCATTGCAATGTTTGTTTATACATGTCTTACTCCTCTTGTGAAGTTGTGTGGTTGCAGGCGGTTCGTTACTCCAAAGG